GTCAATGAAATGTGTGCGGAGATAGAAGAAAAGGAGGACATACGAGAAAACGGGTGATGGCACCCTGAGCGGCCGAGTAGAACCAGGTGGAGGCCCGTTCATACTCACGCTCTAGTAGAAGATCAGCCGAATGCGACAGACAAGCAGACAAAGGGACATGCCAAATTGGGATGCCGCAAGGTGGTTGTCACGGACGGCAGCGCAAAGGACGGCACGCTCGTCATGAAGATATGCATCACGGCGATTGGCTAGGTTTGAGACGAAGAAGTACGGGTCCGCATAATTGCAATCAGGGATGCCGAGGACTGCGCAAGGGGGGCAGGGGATGCCGGCTTCCGAGAAATCACAGTCTATGGCAAGTTCGGCACAGTTCGCGCACTTCGCGACAACCTGAAGACCGTGTAAGGATTTGTACGGGGCGGAAAAAGAGATATAAATGTGGACGCACATCACGATACTTAATTACAGCTGTTCTCGAAATTAATGAGACCGATCGTTTTTTTTCTCTCGTTCCCAAAAAGGAAGGTGGGCACAAGAACATCGATTGATATGCACTATGAGGGCCAGGGAGACTCACCTATGTTCTGGGGTCATGTATGTCAAATTTTGAGCAGAAAGACTTGGTGCAGCGCCTAGAATCGAACGAAAAGATGGGGTGGTGAAGTCACGTGGACACGACTGATCGGCTCGTTTCGGCCGCTGTCAAAGTTCAACCCTCCCGTCGAACGGCTCATGGAGACCTCGGCCCTCCTCGCAAATGCTCCAGGCCAGAAATCCTGGAGTGTTTTGTCTATGCAGCTATACTTACCTTTTTGGGAACTAAAAAAAAAAAAATCACTCAGTCTCATTAATTTCGAGAACAGCTGTAACTTCATAACACGTTCGTGATCGACCGGAAGGGGATTGTCAGAGACGTGTGGGAGCTGGCGGTGGCCGTTGTGACGGGTAACACGGAACGGACAGTTCGGCGGTGGAATTTGCGGCATAACAAAGCCTTCGGGTGGAGGGCTCGAGTGGCTTGAGCCAATGGAAGCGGGGCCGAACGGGACTGGGGCCGGTCGAGGTGATGAAAAGAGCGGGAGTAGCGGCACGGAGTCGCTCGAAGAAGGGGAAGGCATAATGTGACGAAGAATATACAATTAAAAGTCGAAAAAAGTTGGATGCGAAAGGAGGCGAGTGGTGCTGGGGTCAGCGGCAGTAGCGGCGGTGCTTTTAAAAGACTACAAACAATGGCCGTTAGCAAGAAAATGCATGGAAGAATAAAGGGTGCATCGGACAGTGAGGGCCACACTGATAATGGCTGATAACATGCCATAGTGGAGACTATGGGCGGTGGTCCACAATAGCGGGTTAACAGGAAGAAGATTGTTGGGGCCGAACAATGGGCGGTGCGAGGCGTTGCAAGCGTAGACGTAAGACAGCCGCGGGGCACAGTGTAACAATAGTCTTGAGGGGAAAACATTGGAAAGGGGTGGTAGTCCAAGCGACACCGACGTATAACGTCCGTGTGGCAAGAGGAAGAGGTGGAAAAAGGTGGGAAAAATCCCACGGGGACCTGACTCACTATCGATTGATCCCCGATGGTTACGTCACAAGGCTGTGCCAGCCCGCGCGCAAGGAAAGTGCCGACATACCTGACTGAGGACAGTCAGAAGTTATGAAAGAGGGAGATGAAGAGGTGGCACTGATTTCACGGAGGAAAACATACCGGATCAAAGAAAAACCCTGATTTCTGCAAGATTGGAGGCTGTGCAACAGGGCAGTGCTCATGTCAATGAATGATGGAGACAACAATGGTGGAACAATGAGCCATTGAACAATGGGGGCATCAATGGGTACAATGCGCAATGGCGCACTGGATGAACAATGGTGGCGGTCACGTGGTTTTACGTCAAAACACGTCGAGACGCGTCGCAACACACTCCAAACGTGTTTCAGCAAGCGGGTACTTTGGGAACGCACAGCCGTTGAAAAGCCGAATGCTACGTGCCGAAAATATACCCATAGGACAATGGGCTCCATTGTGCATGGCCTTGGTAGTTCGGTTACAGCTGTGATTAAGAAGGAAACTGTCCTGGGTTGGGCGAAACTCCTCACGAAATAGGCCGAGGGCCGGGTTACGGAAAATTAGGACCTATAACTTATGGGTGCGGATGATTATTTGGCAAAGATAAACAGTTGTAGTATAAAAGGGGTGTGTATTTTGTAGATGAAGAACAATTTTTACGCCCGGGTTACACCGTGATCTCTCTCGCTCTCTCTCTTTCTCTCTGTGTGTCTTACAGGAACGGAACGGAACAGAACAGAACAGAACAGAACGAATCTGGGCTTTGACTTGGTCGGATTACAATCTTTGCTCTCAAGACTTACACAAACTACTTACTGAATTCGCAACTGTCATATATTTTGACAGGAACCTCCCGAACTTGTGCGCAACTTGTGTTGTTGGACTTGGACTCGTTAGTTGGAAGGATTTGGAACAGATTGCTGCTGGACGGCATTTTTTTTGTTGATTGGTTTGGGGTGGTTGTTTAGGGTTTCAAGTTCAAGCTTCAACACACATCAAGCGCTTCAACGTCGCGCAGGGCACTGCAATCCGTCTCGAGCAAGACTGGCTGCCCCCAGACGACATTCGCGAACTTGTCCAGTCCGAATTTGAGAGCCGCAAACTCCAGCAAGTGCGGCGGGTATCGCTTCTCCGCGGGCGACGTCCGCTTCGACGCATATCTGATGGGGTGACGGCGTATGACGACTTTCCCGCCAGGCAGCGTCGTCTTCATTTTCTGCGCGAGGATTGCCGCCAAACCGCCTTTGCAGCCATCGGAGTTCAGTATGAATGGAAATTCCTTCAGTGTCTTGAAGCGCGGCGCGCGTAGTACAGGTTCCGAGGTGAGTATCCGCTTCAGGCGCAGGAAGCATCTCGTGTGCTTCTCCGTCCAGTGGTCTGTTAGTTGGAATGCACGCATGATCTGTCTGTACACGCGCTTATTCTGCGCCGCGGAGGTGTCAACGAGCGCAAGCAGATCGCGTAGCGGGGCTTCTTCAGCGACATAGTTGTTCACGAGATCGCGGAAGTAGGCTGTCAGCCCGAGGAAGGAATGGAGGCTCGATGCCTGGAGCGGCTGCAGCCACTGAACAATTGTCGTCAGCTTCTTCAAGTCTGGCGAGACGCCTCTTGGGCCAACAGTCGACCCCGCGAATACCGCCTCGGTCATGTAGAGCTTGGTCTTCTTTGCGGAGAGCGACAGCTTCGTCTCACGTACGCGCGCGAATATGACACGTAGGCGCTGCATCATCTCCTCGAAGTCGTCCGCGGCTGTCCCACCATCATCCACGAGCAGCTCCATCGTCTCGTCTACGACTGAGGGCCCGCGAACTCCGGACCGCATTATACTGGTCTGCGATTAAAACGCTAGATTGGCAAAAATACTATGGAGGAAAGTCCGAAATACGCACCAGGACGTCGACTATGGTAGCGACGCATTGCCGGATGAGGCACCACCCCATGAAGCTAAGATCGTCCTTATGCACCCAGTTGCCTTCCTCCGAGCAGAGAACTTTCTTCAAGAGGAAGATGGCGGGACGTATCAGCTTCTCGACGACCAAGTGCGGCTTCGCATCGCCCACACCGTGCGTCAGGTACTGGTGAATGATGTTGGACGCCTCTTGAATGGTGTAATCGTGGGAAGGATCAAGGACGAGGGAATGGCACATGTAGTAACCAACAGGAGAATTGGGAGGAGCAACTGCCATTGTTGAAGGGCGACGATTCGACTCGACCGTCTATTTAAATCACAAACGGCAAGGCTAGGCACACGATTACACGGCTCTATACGGACATTCCCATCACGGACTTGTCTATTTTCGAACTTCACTCCGCCGACGAAATCTCCTGCACAAGGGGGCCCCCGGAGACAACACGGATAGGGCAACGTTCCTTGCTCCGCCCTAATAGTAACGAAAGAATCAGTTCAAGAACGAGGGGTGGTCGGGTACGAAGCGAACCAACTCCCCTCGGAGTTTATCAATAGTCGACGGAGGAAGCAGCAAACGACTTCCGGTAGTCACAACTCCCGCTTCCACAGTCCTTTCTATGCCTGCTAACGCAACAAGCGTAACTTCGACAACACGCTCTATGTCGCTGTAGTGCTCATGCTCGGAGTTCGAATCGAAGCACGGAGGGGGTGCGTCCCGCATTACAATCCGCTTGTACGACGATGGGGAGTGGCGACCCGTGAAATACGCCTCAACCGTTCGATGTGGATCGTACTCCTCATAATCGAGGTACCGGACGGACTCTGGAGAGTGCAAGATCATGTAACTCTCCGACGCCTTTCGGAGTAGGAACTCAGCCTCGCCAATTGCAATCTGCATCGGTCCGAACCCACGTTCCACGGGTCCGTCGTCTCCATCAAAGCCCACACAGTGAAGGAGCACCAGGATCAGATGAAACATCCACGCGGATTCGGTGGGGGTGTTGAAACGACTGAATAAACTCCGGAGTTCATTCTGCCGAAGACGCGCTGCATAGTACTGAACGAAGGGTCACACTCCTTGTTGAAACAGGCTACTGGACACGCACTATATGGTCAACAACAATCCGCATACAAATACGGATGTTGTACAGTTCTTCGCCGGTCAAGTACGCCGGAGTGCGCATTGCCCACCGATCCTCGAAGACGCCTATGCCGATTAGAAAAACCTTAGCCCGGAGATCGTCTTTCAGGAACCGGTGAAGCCCTCCGATTGGTACATTGAAACCGTCGACGGGGAGATGATGAACGGAGTTATGGAACCGAGCTATTCCGCAGATATCCATGATGATTTAGGAAAGGAAGGGATGTTTAAATAGGTTGCCGACCAGGGACGATCGGCATTTCAAAGTGGGGAGGAGATGTGAGCCATCACATTGTGATAGCTCCCGACGTGACCTCAAAACACCGAACTCCGAGAACAACGCCTTAAGTCTTCGACTAAAAATGATATCCGGACCCAACTAGCGGCTTGACGGAGAATCGAACTCCGAACCTTCTGTTAACCGATATATGAATGCTATAGGTGCACGGAATGTGTTACCATTACGCCAACAGGCCATTCGAGGATCGAACTCAAGACTACAAAGGACCGACTCCGAGTAAAAAGTTATGGCTTGACGGAGAATCGAACTCCGAACCCTCCATCAGCCGATATGAAAACGTTAGGTACACGGAGCGCGTTACCATTACGCCACCAAGCCATGACCGGACTACCCAAAAAGATGTCAATTACCACTGCGCTACCAAGCCACGAAGGACCATGACAAAAAAATCATATCCAGACCCAACATGGCTTGACGGAGAATCGAACTCTGAACCTTCCATCGACCAATATGAGAACGTTAGGTACACGGAGCGCATTACCGTTACGCCACCAAGCCATGACCGGACCACCAAAAATGACAACTACCACTACGAGGAGTCGAACGACCAGCCAAGACGATCACTGTAAAAGAAGGGTTTCCGTCGAAATGGCTCGACGGAGAATTGAACTCTGGACTCTCCGTCAATCGATATAAAAATGTGCATATTACGGAGTGCGTTACCATTACGCCATCAAGCCGTAGGAGTCGAACGACCAGTCAAGATCATCACCGTAAAAAGAATGGTTTCCGTCGGAATGGCTCAGCGGAGAATCGAACTCCGAACCCTCCGTAAAGCATACTGCGAACTTCATAGGAATGCGGAGTGCGGTACCATTACGCCACTGAACCATTCAAGACCGAGCCCTATCTTTTTACTCGAGGGACAAAAGAAAGTAAAGGCCCGTCGGAGATTCGAACTCCGGTCCCTCCATTATTTCAGCTTCCCGCCAGCTACGCGAACGGAGTGCGTTACCACTACGTACATCCGATGCGGAGGAAGATGAACAGCCTGCCCGAGCTGGAAGGACCCGCCGTGTCAGTGAAAAGGAGGCCCAGCGCCGTGAGTCCTGTTCTCAACCCATATTGCTAGCACTTACACTCTTGACATTCAGAGGCCGAAAGGGAAGAAGCCGACAAACACAGGGCTGCCAAGGCCGCGAACGCTGCAAAGAAGCAACGCCAGCAGACGCAGCCCGAGTATGTTGTCCTTCAGGATACTGTGGTGCGTTGCTGTCATTCCTATAATGCTGAGCTCTTATTCCACATTCAGTTCACTTCGCGGGAGGTCGATCTCCCCCCCAACAAGGCCAAGGCTCTCTACCAGCGCGACACCCGGGTTCCAGTCATGCACGCCTGTCCAGCAGTCATCAATAACACACCCGCCCCAGCGCGCGGAAGGACTCATGGACCCAGCCAGGACCTTCGTCACATTGTATGTCTCACCCTATGTGTATTTCGGTGTCGTACTAACCCTCGACAATAAAGATCGCAAACCATCAGGCCACCGCCCCACGTCAAAGCACCAGCAGCCGTGTGGACTACCTCGGTGACACCCCTCGCGGCCTTGCATCGAGCAGCATCAGCGATTGGCGCCACTCTGCTGTCACGCCGATGCCTGTCGACAATGAGGAGCGTCGCCCCCAGGTGCACATCATCCTTGCCTTGATAGCACAAGCCCTACTGATTAGATTAAAGTCTATCAACGGCCACATCTTTCCCGCTCATGTCCAGCTCGACCTACGTGCTGGCCCGTCCCGCCTTCGATCAGTATCTCCCGACATCGAGAGCCCCCCGAATCGATCCGGGCGAGTCCACGTGGCTCAGGGGAGGTCCGAGGGACACCACCCCCAGTCGGATAGTCCTCGATCTAGCTCGCCGAGCATCGGGGATAAGCGAGCACGCTCTCCAGCCAACGACGATGTCCACGACACCCAAGCACAGAAAGTCTCCGATCACCAAGGTCGCTCCCACGCCAAGGACTACGACGACACCACCCAGGAGCTGATCAGCATTGCGAACACTTGGTTCCGATGCCTGCTCGCTACACGCGATGCATTCCCCGAGCACATCGCCGAGACGGAGCTGCTCACCCTTGCCTGGAACAAGGCCTGCGAGGAGCTGAATATCTCGATGTGGATCACGCCTGATATTGCGAAACTGGTACGTTCTTGACTACGATTTGCGCTCCCTCTAACAGATTTCCAGATTACACGCCGCGGATCTCAAATGCGCAGAGAGCTCAAGACCAAAGTCCGCAGCCTCACCGAGCTCGTCTTCGGCTTCGAAAGTGGCCAGAACGAAAAGAATGTCCGCAAGAACAGGCAGCGAGCCGAGGATTTGAAGGATGGCCTGGGTTATTGCTACAAGGTGAGTTTCCTGCCATCGTTCATGAAGATGCTCATGGTCGCTCGCCCGCAGGAGTTCCCCGCCGATGCCGAGCAGCGCAAAGGCCTGTACAAAGCCAAGATCATCCAGAAGTCCACCAACCTCATGTGGTTCAACAACCGTCGCGACGAAGGTGCTACACACCCCGAGCTGTTCGGCCCTATCTTCCCCAAGCCCGCCTTTGCTCTGATTCTCACCGTGGTATGTCCTTTTCCACTTGCCGCTGCCTATCCCGACGAATTGACAGATTGAGTGCTGCATCGATGAGTGGGCCACCGGCATCAAGACCGATGTCCCCTTCACCTCCGCCGACTACCGCTCAGTTTACCAAGACCATCTCAAAGCTCTCGCAGACTTTGAGAAGCACACCGCGCCATGTGACATCCTGGGTAACATTCTGACGCGTGTGCATAACATTGGGCGGTGAGTATTTCTCGCTCTCTGTCGAACATGCCTTGATTCTGTACCTTTCAGCTTCCACTCGGGCGCTCAGCCCATTACCCCCTTCCCCTCCACCTCGACTCTCTCAAAGGTGGCGCTGGATGCAGCAGTCCGGGAGTATGACGAGGACGATGAAACTGAGACTGATGGCGAGAATGGGGAGAAGTCTGATTAGTAGTGTAGATTTGTAACACTTTTTTTTCATTCTATTGATATTGTTTCTCTCTTTTGGCGTAGACCTGAGGCTGGATATATTGGGCTCTCGTCGCCATACACAGCTATGGAGAGCTCTGACACTTTGGATCTATTTTAGTCATACGCTCTGACTACTGCCGACTTCATAGCAAGATATAGCGGCCACCTTCAGCTATTTCTGGCTACAAACCAGGGACCTTGCTACGAGGCTACTACAGCTATCTCGGCTATCCTGCGCTACAATCCAAGGTAAAATTTTCCTGATGTATATGTGCCTAATGAGTCGTAAGTTACCGTTCTCTCTGCCTTACATTAGGTGCTGACAACATTAGGTGCTGACAAGTGGATGGATCCAAAACGACGACGGCACATCGGATGAAAGCGTTGAGAACGAGCCCGAGGATGGACATGAGGAATCGAATAGCAATGCTGGGGGTTGATACGCCGACGGTGCTTCTGAGAGTGTAAATGCAACAAACAAAAGGCAAAGCTAAAATACCTTTTCTCTCGTAATTGGTTTAGAAGACCGAAGAGCTGGTGTGAGTGCGAGTTGGCTTTGACTTCGTTCCAACACCTGTTCAGGAGTGTCGCAAGAGCTGTACCTGGGGACTAGGACTGTACTGAGGTGGCAACTAAGGCAAAATGGAAACCAGGACTTGGGCGGGCGCAACTAGGACTGGCGACGAAGGACCTGATACAAAACTGACGATGAAGGACCGCGCGGCAACGACGAAGACCGCGAATACGATAGCAAACTAAAGGAAACTAGTCTGGAGGCTTGCTTAGTCACACAAAGCGCTTAATGGGCGCTTAAATGCGAGGAAGAAAACTTGCTTATAGTGTAGGACATGAGCCCAATTTATACTACTTTACAACGCTAATTATAAAGAGCACAACTAAGGAAAATGACTACTTTGCCCAAGGCCTCCGAGTGATAACGCGCAGGGCGGACGAGCCACAAGAGAGAGTGGACCCACCCATGCGAAGAAGAACTGCCACAATACCAGTGGCCACAACGGAAGAGATATCCATTGCAGGAGCGGTACATGCGGCATCGAGTAAAAGGGCCCGCGCAGCCGCTGGCCTTTTTGTTAAGACAGAAGACGGCAGAAATCGGGGAAAATGTCTCCCTATCGAGGGAGAACAATCCCAGTATGCGGCTGAACTCTTTGCGGCGCTGGAGGCGACCCGGATGACAAATAAGGAATCTGTCCTCACAATCATTAGCACACAGACTTATGTCCGAGACGCGATGAATACGAAACTCCCGGGGTGGGAACACGAAGGTTGGGCAGGTGTACCACATCGGGAAGTACTGAGATGCCTCGCCGCCGAGCTGAAAGCGAGGAAGGCCCCAACCAACTTCAAAGTAGCAGCGATGGGCTCCCATGACAGAGAAAATTGCAGGCAGGCCGCCGAGCTCGCTAAGAATGCAGCGCAGACCCTGTCTGATGAACGGTGGGCACTCACGCTGCCTCCGGACACGGCCCTCCCTGGTCTCAGCCTGCAAGGCAACCGGCAACGCGTATTTTATCGCAGTATACATGAAATGAAAACTCACTCACAAGCAATGGCCCCAAGACCCTCAATGGCCAAGATGCTTGAAGTCGTGAGGAAGGCAGCCGCAGACAAATTCGGCAAGTACGCATCCGATACGGACATATGGAAGTCGCTGGCATCGAAAGACTTCCTCCCACGAACGGCCCAATTCCTATGGAAGGGAATACATAATGCACACCGGATAGGGAAATACTGGACCCACATACCGGAGTGTGAGGAACGAGCGGCATGCAAAGACTGTGGTGTCACCGAAGATCTAGAACACATCTTGCTCAAATGTGAGAGTCCGGGTCGGGCGACCGTCTGGCGTGTGGCCGAAACCCTGTGGCGAGAAAAGGAGAGTGAGTGGCCCGAGCTGTCGTTGGGCACCATACTTGGATGCGGCCTTGCTGAATTCCGCGACAAGAAGAATCTCGCATTGTCTACGAAACCAAATTGTTCTTTGGGTTAACGATCCTGAGATGAAAGCTAAGGTTCGTATTGTACTTACAACGGTGGGTTGTGTGAATTGCCTGAGCTGCCGCACTGATGATGACTTTCCATAGACTTATCTCCCTGATGTCACTAGAAAGAAACCGTCGATCTCCTCATCAATAAATGCCATGGTATGTTTACCAACAAATGCGAGCGACGACCAACTTACAAGGCAATGATACAAGCCCCACATGCACCACACGACGCTCCGATGGCCGGAAGCGCTCCCGGGGTGACACGTTCTGTCGCGATTGCGTCATTTGCCGAACGGAAGAAAGGACCATAAGAAAGATTGCGTCCCCGTCAAACCGAAGGACCAAAGCACCATAAAAAGGATATTCCGCCGCTACAAACCGTTCAAGTCGGCTTTAATCAACCTGCCGCTCTATGAGTATGTGGCGCGTGGGTGGGATCAAGAGGGTCCAATGATAAGAAATTTCCATATATGGTAGGGGGGGGGGGGGAGGACCCCTCCGACCGCGAAAAAAAAATATTATACCCTTTTACGCAACTCCATTTTAGAGGTCTGCGGATGCTGTGGAAGCATGAAAACTTCGCCCAAGTCAACCTAAAGCTCATTTTGGGCATCTCTGATCAATCTCTGATGTGTGTGGTGATATTTGTCTGTAGTGCGGGAAGCATCACAGCCTCGGATCACACAGAATGAGGCTCAACCTTCCCCGAATGCGAACAAATCACCAGCAAACGGTGTATCGGAAGCGAGCACGGGGGGAAGGGTTGGGTGTGTGCTGCCTGTGGAGGGGGGAAACAGCAGTATACGGGGCCAGCATAGGTTACTTCCAAGGTTTCTATGGGGTGGCGTCCGGAAAAGGGAATTGATGGCACGTGTTGCTTACAAATCGCTTACGTAGGAGGGGGGGAGTAGGCCCGACCCTCTGAAAAAAAAAAACCGACCTACTGTATATATTTCGGGGTTTTCAAACCCTCTTGGGTGGGATGCAACCAACAACGTATGGCGAAATACCGCATGGTCTACCTTGGACAACAGCTTTACTAGTCCTCTGACAACATCGGCGGCTGGTTCTGAACATAGCAGCGGACAAGCCGGTACCCGCAGGGGGGAAGGGAAGAACCGCGACCCCGGGCCTGTAGCGGATGCAGGTCCTCGGCACGAGGAGCCTGATGACCTGATCCTCAGAGAGTTGCATGTGCTGTAGCAAAGGGCATTTTTACCTCGAGCTCCGTTGCAGGTGATTCTGATCAAGAAGCAGGGTCTTCAACCTTGAATGTCGTGGGTCGGGGGCCCAATGATGGGGATATATCCATGCTGCGTAATGCGGAGGAACAACATAGCCTGACGGAAGGTGGCGCCCGGTGGCGCCCAAGGCATTTGATTAGTGTTTTGCTTACTTCTTTTACGAATCCTTATGCTGTATTAGTACGTCCGTGTAAATCACCTTATGTCTTAATGGTCCGCATAGTCAATGCCCAAATTATGAGAAGTATGGCGGGGTTTACCGGACAATAATCCGATACAGCCCATGCAACCAGATGCACCTCATTGTCAATGCAATCAAATGCAACTGAGTGCAAATCAATGCAACTCAATGCAGAGTTGGTTTTTTAAATAATGTCCAACAAAATGCACTGTCACATTGGGTGCACGGGCTTTAGCTTGGATTCGAACCAGGACCTCCTGCGCACATGAACCCTATGCAATGGACCCTCTTGTTATCTTGTGGGATTTTGCGAGTCAACGGCAAACGAAAAAAAAAGTCCGACAGCCAAGGAACATGACCTAGCCTGGATTCGAACCAGAGCCTCCCGCGCAAATTATCCCAGACTTCTCTAAAATTTTGCGGACACGGTACATTCCGCCACTAGGTCACCTCCCCGCCCAATTAACCCTCGTCTCGTGCAGTGGTATTCTATTAGTTGTAACCCACAGCGAAGAAAAGAACAAATCACCCAGCTTCGAGTACTGTGGTCGAGAAGCGTGTTCCGAAAAGAGAGAGTTCAGAACTGAGACATGAATGTGTTGGAGATTGGATCCCAGGAGTGAAGCAGCGGTGTGCGACGAGTACAAAGACAAGAAAGTGATTGGTCATGTGATATATCGGGCCGGTAATCTAATCGTGTCTCGACTCTAATTTACGACTTCCAACACACCCCCTGAGTCGAGACACCCCCTGAATCACATCGAGAACTCAGCTTCGTCCTCTGCTTCATCCTCCTTTAAGGACATCCCTTCAAACACCGACTGAATCTCGTTTACTGTGGTCATGTGGGACAGGACGGACACCATCTCCGAGGGAGGAAAGCCAAGCCTCGCGAGCAGTAGGATCCATGGTGTCGATGTTGAGTTCGTCAGGAAGGATGGCGGACATGGCGTGAATGGATGGTTTGTTGGTGTTGGCCAATTCGTTGGTGCTCTCCGAGTCCCGCTCCGCTTCCACGACATGGGCGCGCTGCTCACGATTGTGGATAATGCGGCGGCACACATCATCGGGCATGATGGAGATGCAGTACTGCGCAAAATGGCCGGGAAGACCGCATCGGTAGCAGACGTCCGTGCGATTCTTGGTATTGGTCCAATCAAACTCCTTGCCAGCTGATGAGTGCGAGTGCGAGTTGTCCGTACGACGAGAGCGATGAGTGAGGTGAGCTGCAGCAATCTCACCCCCTTGATTTGCGTCATCAATGTACTGGCTCGCTCGCGTGGCTTTGATGGCCGAATCAGTGCGCTGAAGATCAGCTCGCTCCCATGCGTCAATCACATTGATCATAGCTGGAATATCGCGCTGGGGGGATTCGAGCTGGAGATGGGTAACAATGGGGGAATAGGCCGACGAAAGACTGCTCAGGATTTTGTCCTCAAATCAAATCAAATCAAATCAATATTCCATTAGAGTGCGCGCGGGCCCCTGGGGGCCCATGTGGCACTGTATCTAAGTACTTGAGTTTGTAGCTAGCGGACGCGGATTGGGGGCAAGGATTGAGGCGTGTGCGGGGATGTCTATGCGAAATGGTGCTATGAGGGGGGGTGTTGGTGTGTTGTATCGTAAGAGATGTCAAGGAAATCTGTTGGGTGATGTAAAGTAAGAGACAATTGACCGATGAGATAAGTAAGTAAGAAAAGGAAGAGGAAAAGGAGGGGCGGGCTCATAGCGCATAGTTGGGGAGACGGGCGGTGTCACGGACGAAGGTGAGGACCGGGGCGGGGTCGGACTTGGAGGAGATGAGACGACGGAGGGACAGATTGGCGGTGCCGATGCGGAGGATGAGGGCGAGGCGCTGTCGGCGGTACCGGGGGCACGAGAGCAGAAAGTGGGAGACAGTCTCGGGAACGAGACAGTGATCACAGTCGGGGGACGGGCCGAGGTGAAAGCGGTACAGGAATGCATTGAGGCCGATGTGGGCGGTGCGGAGCTGCGTAAGGATGCTGCATTGAGGCCGGGTAAGGTCTTCGTACATGCGGGAGATAGCGCTGGATGGTTTGGGGTTGTCGAAGAGCGCGAGGCGGCGGTAGTGCGAAGAGGTCGACCACTCGTCGAGCCAGCGCGCATGGGTTGCATGCGCCCCAGCTGCGATAGCGGCCGCCCTACTCTGCGGTAGTTGGCCTTCGAGCTCCCGAATGCGCGAGTACAGCGGAGTGCTGGTTCCTCGGGCGGCGTCCTTTGTGAGCGCGTCCACTGCTTCGTTTCCTGCGATGCCGACGTGGGCCGGCACCCAGTGAATCCTGAACCATGTGCGCAGGGAGGGAGACAGCTATAGCCGTGAGACGACGCTCTGCGGTGACGACGGCCTGGAGGAATTTATCAGCAGGCTGGGAGAGGTCGTGGGAGATGCTGTGGAACTGGGACATGAGGATCGAGCGGGTAGCGGGGTCTGCCGTTGTGTAGTACGACTCAAGGGTTGCCCAGAGCAAACGTCCGTTAATTCCGATGCCTGCATTGTTAATCTTGTCCTTCACCGCTTGGCTCAGCGTGAGGAATAAGATACCGTGAGCTTTCAAATTTTCGCTAGCCCAAATACGCATCTGTACTGCACCGTTTGGAACCGGAACCGATGGATCGACGGCGTTCCAAAGACCGTCTGCCAACAACAAAGACGTCGCATCGGGCTTCCAAGTCCAATAGTTCTCCGCACCATCGAGTTTCGTAATATCCGAGGGTTTAACCATGGCGAACGAGAGTCGAAAATGCGAGTGGCAATGGGACAAAGAGATGTAGAGTGCAGCGAGAAACCGGGTGCTGATCGTGACAGTGGACAATTAACAAGTGAGGATGGTGGTCTTCAATGAGTAGTGGAGCTATAGGCCCATAACCTGTTGGAGATTGGATCCCAGGAGTGAAGCAGCGGTGTGCGACGAGTACAAAGACAAGAAAGTGATTGGTCATGTGATATATCGGGCCGGTAATCTAATCGTGTCTCGACTCTAATTTACGACTTCCAACAGAATGTGCAAGGGATCTCAAGTTACAGCTGTGCCGGTAACCGGACAAGGAAACGAAGAGGAAAAAGAAAAAATCCTCAGTCTGCCGCAACAGAGGGCGGACGCGATACCTTTCGCCACCAGGTCTTTTTCTTCCCAAAATGAACCTCGCGCTCTGCCACATATTGGAATGCGGAAGCGAAAAAAAGAAGACTCCACTGACGGTGTGAAATGATATCAATAGGATTCGAGATAGCTTGTATCATTGTATGGAATAGAAAAGATGCTGAAAAAGATGCCAGCATGACTTCACAAGGACCTAGCCTGGACTCGAACCAGTACCTTCCGCAGGGAAAATATGTATCCCACAACACTGCATACGGACGCGGCACCTTTCACCATTAAATCTAATTTCCACCGAACTCGGCCTCGCTTTCTATGGTTGTGCTCTCCCAGTTCCTTCAATCAGCAGCAGCAGAGCAGAAGAAAAAGTGATATTTCACTCACTTACATCCGTCGCGTCGTTCTGTGCTGGGTAATAAGCAACCTTGCCGCCGAAGAGGAAGCGCAAGGTGATATGAGAGTCCGATTTACAATTGCCGCCAAAACGACGGGACTTGGGAGAAATAGAGAAAAGCAGTACTTGGATGGCTCGTGACCTAGCCTGGGCTCGAACCAGGGCCTTCCGCAGGGAAATTATGGGCCTACTGGATGCGGAAGCGGTACCTTCCGCCACTTGGTCCTATACCTACCCATTTAACCCTTCTCTTCTGTAGTTTCATTCTGCACATGTGAGCTGCAGTAGAAGAGAACGAACACCCCGCTCGCCTCCGCACATCACTCTAGTTTATGTGGAGCAATAACGAGTCGTACTGGAGCAAGCTTGGGACGAAGGAAGCGCGGGGCTAGGACTGGGAGCTTGTTCGGGCACGAGAGAAATAGAAGAAAAAGTCTGCACCGGAGAAGTATGACCTGGCCTGGACTCGAACCAGGACCTTCCGCAGGGACTTGTCATTCTCTCGCATACTGAATGCAGATGCGGCACCTTCCGCCACTAGGTCCTACACCTCCCTAAACTGACCCTCGTCTTGTCGGGTGATTTTTCCTGAGTTACTTCAACACGGAGAGCAGAGGGAAACGGGAAAGGTTCACTCCCCTTCGTCCGATGGTCAGTGTCTGTGGTCTGTCCTTGGGAAAACAGGCGTGGTTCGAAGAAGGAGAGTGTTAGAGATGAGATTTGAGTCCCCGGGACTTTTGGTGAGGGTAGTCAGACAAGGAAGGAAAAGGAAAAAGAAAAAGGAAATTTTGTCAATTCAGGAACGATGACCTAATCTGGAGTCGAACCAGGAACTTCCGCCGAACTGCTCGGCATAGATACATCACACTGCGCAGATGTGATACCAACGTCACCGTTAGGTCTTCCCATGTGTCCCTGTTACTGTTAAAAGGCTGAGTAGCATTGCGGTCAGAGAGGACACGGAGAAGGAAAATATTACCCGGAGTCTTCCATGCGGCCCGAGATCACTTGATTCTGACATTTGAACGATTCCATTATTATTGAGGTGCGAAGGACTGCCAGCACGGGCGAGGACCAGCGGAGCTAAGAGGAACCAAAAGGAAAAATGAAGTGACGACCTAACCTGGAGTCGAACCAGGGACCTCCGCCGACCTGCTCATGTCCTGTATACATAGCGCGGACGCGATACCGTTTCACAATTAGGACCCTACTCCTGTGTTACCGTTTAAAGAGCTGAGTAGCATTTCGGTCAGAGAGGACGCGGAGAAGGAAAATATTACCCGCAGTCCGAGATTGCGAGATTGTTCGTTAGCTGCGAAAGGCGATTCTGTGATTTGGAAAAAGTGGTTCTGAGATTTGAACGATTCCATTATTATTGCTCGAAGCGAGCGAGGCCGAGTGGAGCTAGAAGAAAATTGAAAATTGAAAAAGCTGTACATCATGAGCCATATGACCTAACCTGGAGTTGAACCAGGGACTTCCGCCGAACCATTTCATTTCATCGGAACACCCTGCCTACGAAGTGCGGACGCGATAACCGTTTTGCCATTAGGTCCTTGCTCATGCTGATGTCTTTCTGCTTCAAGGCTGAGCAGCATGTCGAGGCAGAATGATACCGATCTTCGAGCAAGAGAAATTACGAGGCCTGAGTTGGGCCTGAGATTGCTCGGAGTCATTGACCGCCGGAAAAAGTGACATTTGAACGATTCCATTATTATTAAGGTGCGGAGGACAGACAACAAGGATGACCGCGCGAGGCCCAGCGGAGCTGAAGAAACCACAAAGAAACAGTGTCCATCAGAAGAATCATGACCTAACCTAGAGTCGAACCAGGGACCTCCGCAGAACTTGGCTAGTAACATTTTACAAACTGCGGACGCGATACCGTTTCGCCATTAGGTCTTCTCCTGTGTGACCGTTAAAAGGCTGAGTAGCATTTTGGTCAGAGACGCGGAGAACGAAAATATGGTAAAATTGCCAGGCCCACAAGTGTCAGGTCCGAATTAATGCTGTAAATGATGCAGGGTGGGTTTGTGGATTGGGAGTTGGAACGGGTGTTTCCGCCATTTGAACAGGCTATTGAGAGAGAGGAAAGGACGAGCGAGCGAGGCCGAGGGGAACCAAAAAAAAAAATAAGAAAGGCATCTCTGCCAGTTACGACCTAACCTGGAGTCGAACCAGGGACTTCCACCGAATTTTTCTGCACCTCGCATACGAAATGTGGACGCGATACCGCTTCGCCATTAGGCCTTTCTGTAGGGTCCTGGTGAGAAGATTAAGTGGCATAGGGCTTGCAATTGCACATGTCGGTTTGAGGAGGATTTCGCGCAGAATGGATGTCGAGTAAGTAAAAGTAAATACCAAAATTCATTGACAAGGTGAGCCTGGACACAGACAGCTGGCGGATGAGTTGGGACCGGGACAGCTGCTCATATTGGCACGAGGATGTGGAGCGGGTTGCGGGTTAGAAAGTAGAACAAAGATACTGATGCTTATTCTTATTAAGATTCTTCAAGTCTAATAAGATGCTGAGGGAGAAAAACAAATCCTTCGCCTTTATCACAGGACCTAACCCGGGTTCGAACCGGGGACCTCCACCAAAAATGGTTGAACTATCTACTAAGAAATAAGGACGCGATACCAGCTTCGCCACAGTGGCATTAGGTCGTGATGAACACATCGCTGGTGAGGGGAGGACCGCGTTAAGCAACGAGTGAGAAGTGGGGTAGTTCTCCTGAGCGAAGGTAGCGTGTAAGGGACGCAGAGACGAGATTGAATTCGATGCTGAATGTGGAAAGTGGAAAGAGAGACGGAGGAGGATAGATGAGCGAGAAGATCCAGGCGCTTGCCGGGCGCCAAGTAGTGTAGATAGCAAGCAGCAGCTTAGTACCATGGCAGGAGACAACGCAGCCAGCAAAAGGATAGATTTGCGGAGTTGTGGCGGGGAAAGCAGGGAGTGCGCTGCGAGATCACTGGCAGTAGATAAAAGAGGGTGGCGGAGAGATCAGCGGGCTGACTAAGCACGCCCACTTTGACTTTGCACTGTCATCAGCCCTCAGATTCAAGGTCGAGACCTGAGGCGACCGCCAGCTTGACGGCCAGCATAGGAGACGACGGGGAAGACAGAAGAAATGACGAGCAACATTAAAGAAGGAACGACATCAAGGTGAGAGACAAAGGGAAGAGAAGAGAGGCGCGCGGTGTAAACTCTAATCTAATGCTCGCCATAGCAGCAGCCTGTAGTCAGCCGGAGGCTCTTACCACGGTGGAACCCAGTCGCAGCCCGCCAGCCCGGATGTCCGGCACGGGCACGGGCGCTAGCACGCTCGCCTGGACGGAGCCGCCCTGGTCCGGCTGTATCGAGACCACCGGCGGCGCGCTCCTCATCCTCCGCTTCGGGTCACGCTCCGCCTCGTCAACGCATACTTGTCAGCGGGAGCGTTCTTGTATCGGACGAGAACGCCGGAAGATGAGCAAGGTGGGGAGAGTTGAGTCCCTCGCGGACGGAGAAGGTGAGCTCACCGCTATCGTTTCTGTTGACCTTTCTGAGGTCCTTCTCCACACACCTTCCTCTCACTCCACTACCCCGCTCGTCTATTGTATCTCAATCTCCTTACATCTTCCGTTGCCTGGCGTACACTTTGGAGCGCTCGTCTCGGTTCGCGCGTCCGTCACCCCAGGGTCATCCAGTCTTTTGTTTCCGCATGTGCACAGTGCAGTTTCCGTTGCCTTCGTCTCCCACTCGCCCTTTTGCCATGCGTATGCGTTTCGCATTCTCCTTGCTCAAGATCGCACTAGTTTTCTGCCGATCATCTGTTCTCCTCCACCCTCACTTCCTTACACTGCCATCCTCTGGTCGAAAATTCCTGCCCTTCTTGTGTGCCACCTCCGCCCACTCTGCCCCATCGCCTCCTCGCACTCTTTCGTTTCAATCCTGCGTATATCTCTGGCCCATGCCAGCCGTTCCGAGTGCATGTTCGCTTCCCCTACACCCGGAGCGCATCGTTCCACCCCCTGCCTCGCGCTCATGCCGCCATCGGATGCAAGTAGCGCCTATTGATGTACGCTGTGTAAAAAATAGATCGCTCATCCTGCATCACATCTTCCCCATCGACGACTGTGCACTTTCGTTCACGTCCTCCTTATTTGTCTCGCAGCCGCCCGTCCCCGCATCTCCGCTGCCCCTTGGTCTCCCTTGGCTCCTTGCTTGTCTGAGCCTCGTGCCGCCCAGTGAGTTGACGAAAAGTACGGCGATCTGGGTGTTGTTGTTATCCAGCTAGAAAGTGGTCGCCTGGGCTTGCAGCCGCGAGGCAAGTGAGTGCTGTTCGCAAGTGTCATATCCAAGCATTACAGTAACGCACGATCAACAACGAGAAGAGAAGAGAGAAGTCAGGCTGTTGCTGTTAAGAAAGGTCGCCTGGTAGTTTGACCGTATCCCCTCCTAAAGTTTTGCGTGCCAGCTTATTGGCGCCGAGGTGGATCTGGCCGGAGTAACACTGGTTTAAGACCAGGAAAAGTGAATAGAAGTTGACGCCATAACTGATAAATTTCATCGCTGTGAATTAGTGTCACGCTGCCAGGATGCCAGCTGACTTTCGGGGGGCTGTGGCGTGCGGTTTTGGTGCGGCGCAGAAAGTGCGAACAGAATGGCCTACAGCAGTCAAGCGGCGCGCGGCGTTGAAGCTGTGGACTGCGGACTGACTATAAAGTGAATCTGGTCCTTCCAGCACTCTGACCAATCCGGCGACTACAGCTTTCTTTCACCCATCATGGATCTTCAGAGCCTATCATTACAGGTCCCTCACAGAACTCTAACATCTTCTGCCTCGGAATTCTTGGACGTCTTTGCATCCACCTCGGAAACTGTCAAATCGAGGAACCGGTTACAACTCCGAGTCGAAGAGTTGAGGTCACAATTCAAAGAGTTGAAAGACCGATACAGAAACGTCTCAGAAACACATTCCACTTTGTTGAGATTCAAACAGAACCTTCTCTCTTCCATCCCTTCGCCACTGACGGAGCAATCGCCATCGACGGAACAATATCTTTACAAGGTGGCTAAAGGATTACCAGCCGGATATCGTAAACCATTACTAGAACTCCTCCCAACCATCTACAAGGGCTTTGAAGGTATCCTACCCATTCACTCGCTCCGGCACGCACATGTCCGAATTCTAACTGGGGACCAACTTTTTTTTAGCCGGAGATCATTGCGCCCTCTACCACAGCTTACATATTGAAGCCCCAGAGACTATAACAAGATTGAGACGGGTCTTCGATGCGTATGAAGGTACATCGTTCTAAATAAAACATGTCATCCAGCTCATTGGGTTTCTTTCCAGTCCCCTGGATCGAACCAGGCTTCGTTTATACCCCACACTCGAGGAGAAGGAAATGTTCCAGCGGAATGGAGGGTATACAGAGGATGCTCGCGGACCTTAAACGGTTGGGTCCAAACTTTGATCCGGATCAGGTTGTGAATCGTGCGTCCCTACGTTTGTATTCCACTTCCAGTCGGGCTCATGTGCGTCAAATGTCTAAGCTCGAGGTTTTCATTTCACTACTCTGTCTGTCACAGCTGTGCTAAGCACGGTACAGATTTCGCTCAGGAAGTGAAGGACCTCAAAACCTCTTGCAAGAAACTCGAGTATTTATTGCGGACGGGCCGCTCCTCCCCAGCTCTGAGGGATAGGGTGGTAAACCTGCTCGAGAGCTTGAAAAGGTCTCCTGCAATGGATCTCGACCTTCTTGAGGGTGTAGACGATTTCACGCGATTATACTTTGAGTTCTGCGCGTTGTCTCTCACTGGCCAAGATACCGGAGGAAAAATACGGGAGTTGCGCCAATTGGTGAAAGGAAAGCTGGAAAAGGCCACGCATGAAATGGAGAAGTTCGACCGTGTAAGCAAGATGTATGCCGAAGGTGGAAGGCAAGATCTCGCTTCGATTATGCAGGAAAATGCAAAAACAGGTGAGTATCCAACGCGGATTTAGGTTTTCGTGTTTTCATTGTTCGTTGCAGCGCGAAAAGCAGGCTTTCGCGAAGGTGTTAGCTCCGCTGCGGAGAGCCAGCAGATCTACGACGACCTTGAGAAGATCGACAAAGGCTTTATGACTATCGGCCAACGATTGAAGGATTCCAAGGAGTTTTGGGAGGGGGTCGATCGAAAACTCAACTCTGCACCGTACACGCTCACAGGTCAAAATATCAAAGACCATCCCGACGGGAGTAGGACAGAGTCCGTGGTAAGTTATCACACTCTGGATCCTCAATGTCATTTAACGCTTCGCAGGCGCAGAAAATTCAAACTGGGCTTGAGACGGTCCACGGCGCCGCCCAGCAGTACTCCGGCTCTCCCAAGATCCTCAAGGCCGGCACTCAGCTTGTCCGGCGTGCCTCAGACTTGACCAAGGACTGCACCACGATAGCACGTACCCAATTATCGGCCCAGACTCATCTTCAAAACTCAACAAGCAACCCAACGAGTGGTCGCAAGGTATTGTTACCGTTAACGAAGGGCTTCGGTAGCCTCGCGAAGCGCTATGAAAAGATCTCGCAGGAGTTCGCCAAGTGGGCGCGCTGGATTTACCTCCTCTTCTGGTTTGCAGGATCAGCTCCTGCGGACAAGCTGCGAAGTTCGTTTTTTTTTTGGTTTTTTTGTCTTGTGTTGATTGTGCTGAATTTTTCGTCGAAGTGGAGAGACCGGACCACGTCGCTCATGCGGTTCTTCTATCCAAAGGACTTCCATCTTATCTCCTCCCATTCGAGTCTTCTCTCACTGCGATTGAGCGCCATCTTCGCGGCATACAGAAGCTTTGGATGAACCTTGAATTAATGGGGGATGGAATCCCGCGGCCCGCATGGGAGATAATTAGAATTGGCACTTTGGTAGCACGGAGCTCTAGTACTTATACCCACTTTCTCGTCGAGTAATATGTATTTCCAAGATGAAAATCAAGCCGGACGACTGGCGGAATGAACAATGGACACAACCACATTCTAAGGCTGTTTAACCCGACAGCGGCCTACTAGCGTTCGAGAACCATCACAGGTTTACGACCTAGCCTTGATTCGAACCAGACCCTTCCGCGATTTTTTTTCGCCAGGACCCAAACTTTACCGGAGCGATAACTTCAGCCACTAGGTCTCATCCCCACCGGATTAACCATCATCTGGTGCGATGACATTCTAAGTACTGCGATAGAAGCTTTGATTCGAACCGGCCCTTCCGCGGAGATTTTTTTCGCCAG